GTATTGCCTTCTACAATGAGCAAGAGATGGTCTAATGGTAGCGTCCTCTGAATATTCATGTCAGAGCTAAATTACTGTACAGTGACCCAACGCGTTCCTGTTCTTTGTGGTCAAAATCTGTTTATTAGGTCCTTCATACTGATCTTAGTTTCATTCTGTCTCCTTACTACATAAAACCCATCATTTGCTGGGAGATGAATCACTGACCTTGCACTGGTTCAAACCTCCTTTAGACCCTCTCTGTGACGATGGTAAAATGCTGCATCTATTGCCGAGTGTCCTAAATCACAGTCTTTCYAACTAAATCCGCACTTCACAGCAGGTGTAGATGATGGCACCCCCTGGATCCTAATTAGTCCTGGTACTGCCTGGATCGTCACTCCTCCTGGGAATGCAATGCTTCTTSCAGTCTAAATGATGGGGTTTTGCCTCTCATAGCACTAGTGTGCGACCTTATGGCTTGGGATCATCACGAACCTGGAAAGTTCAGAGCTCAGACTCATTCCTGCATCCACTAGAGCAGAGCTCAGAATYATTCCTGCATCCACCAGATTATCTGTAGTTTATGTTTAATACACATTCTTTACCAGACTATACACATAAAAAAACACCCCAGTATTTTAGCAATAGATGCCACTTGTATCTGCTGCATGCCACACTGCTGAATCTCAAGTTTACACACACAACAAAAAAGGACTCCCGAGGGAGTTAAGATGATTAAGAGGTCAGAAATGAATAGAAAATAAAGATACTAAACACAAAATATTAGACATAATGTTTGCTTTGCATCCTAAACATCCTTACCGCAGTGTCATTGGTGGTAATGTAAACCAACACATCTGAATTGTTTCTGCTGTTAATGTATCGGTAACAGTTCCACACACAGCTTATCAAGTAACCCTGCAAATAGAAGAGATTTATTATGATGTGTACAAGATAAACCAGACAGRTTTTTCTGCCACAGCTTTGTATACATTATTGAAGCTGGACTGTTRAAAGACCTTGTTGGACAGTTAGAATAAAAGGAAAGCACAATACTGCACGTTCTGTACAAAACCTTCCCTCCTTCCCTCCCCAAAAAAACAGTTATTAGGGAAAAAGAGTACACATGATTATTAAATAATTCCTTTTGCTGAGAAATACCGGCTTCTTAGTTTCTATTTCTTGCCTTTAATGAAAGGCTCTACCACAAGGATAGCATTGCACAATGCATGCAAGTTGTGTGCTCACCCAAATCTCTCATGATGTCAAGCAACTAAGAGCAGACAGAGCAATGCAGGGTGCACAGCAGAGTACCCTGCTCTTCAGAGCTCCTTTTAGGAACCACTGTAGCTAAGCAGATGCAGTGCAGATACAAATAAAGATACAAGTCTGATAGAAGCACAGGACAGTGATTTTGCTGGTTTACAGTTGGCTGTAAGGGTGTGTAGGGATTCACTAAGCAATCTGATGATACCCTACTTCTTACTGTGCAGGAGGCTATAGAGAATGGGTTGGAATAAATGCCACTCAGGTTAGGCAGATACTATAATCTAAAGCTATCTGAGCAAAATTTACTATTCCAGAAATGTAATATGACTGCATATACAGTAATATATATACAATATATATAAATATATAGTAATATATTCAATTTAGCATAGACTCAATGTTGAAATGAACAAAAACAAGCACCAATTTCTTTCCTCCTGGATACAGCCGAAGTAACATCTGTGTGTATAAAGTCTGTTTTGCTCAAATAAGCATGTCATGTGCTGGCTTTCTTTTTAACTCCTCTACAAATACAGAGAAATGTAATTTCAATCAGAGGTCTCATTACTGTGCGTAGGATACTGCATATCAATAGGGGGACAATTTTACAATATAAAACAAGGTATAAGTCTCACCATGACAAACAGAAGGTGCAGAATGTCTCAGGAAAGAAGGTAAAAGGTAAATGGAAACCAATTTTGAGAAAAGTAGAAGAGAATCTCAGTAAAAACATGAGCAAGGTGGGGCCTGAAGAACCACCAAGCAAGTGCCGAGAACCTCCGCCTTTCCTGGTAAGTGCAGGCTGGCCAGTGACTGTAATTAAGAAGCTGATGATCCCATATATCATGTGCATTGTTTTGCTACTCTGTTTCACTTAATCTGGCATTAATTCAATGTATTCCATATGACTGGAATGCTCTGGTGTCTGACTATTCATGCCTGACCAGAGAAAATTGCATAATGCTTTTATAGAAATCTGAAATTACTTCTGACCTTCCAGTCATTATTACAAATACTAATTTTGTTTTTCACAGTGCACAAAAGTTGTTATTGCAGCAGCAATCTTACTACAGGACCATAAACTTCACTGTTTTTGTTCTTGGAGCTCACTTGGCTCAAGACAGGATTGCTGCCTGGCAACGAACTAGTAGCCTCCACTTGTACAAACTGATTAAGCGAAATGTTCATATCCATCATCTCCTCTGCCAGCAGGAGGGATTCCAGCCCGGCCTGCAGAGATGAGCAAAGACGCTGGAAGGCAGACGGGAGGCAGGAACACATGGGGAGGAGCAGGAGTCAGATCCTCAGCTTGCCAGGGACAAGGCTGGTGTCCTGGAAGGAGCAACTGGGTCACCGGTGCTTTCTGCTTCTCCACCAAGAGAACTGACAGAGACAGAAATGTGCTTTGATAGTGCCCAACTTACCCTTTTAATAAGTGTGTAGTAGTTCCTTCATAGTCATAGCGTGTGCAAATTAAACTGCCAGCGCTGATTGGATCTRCATGTGTATCTCAGAATGAGTCATGTTTTCGTGACTCACTTGCACTGATGACCTTCCAAAAGCCTCTTATCCTCTTTAGCTGCCCTGTGTTTCCGCCCTTTCCAAAGCTGTCGCATAGAAGCTGTGTTTTTCAGGATACCACATGACTCACTGATTGCTTCCTTGCAGATCAGGAAGCTGTTTTCCACTGGGGATCAAGGGGCTGGAATCTATTGAGTTTGCTTCCTCTTCTTTATGGGGTCTTACAGGTCTGGGTAACTGTGTCAATGACTTTGAAAATGCTTTTACCAMCCAATGGAGAGGACAAAAGACTTCYGGAGTGAACTGAGGGCTAAGGGAAAGTTAGGCTGTCTCTACGTCTCAAATTTACAGYTATGAAAGCCTGCCATAGACTACTGAAACAATTGGTGTAAAGGCATATAAATGAGAAATTGAATCTTTTGTAGAATCAAATACCATTGCTGGAAATAATATATAATAGTAGGTAGTTCAACAGCTTTCCGTGCTCAGATACTGTGCACTGAGAAGGCCATAGGAGCTAGGGGTCAACAGAGCACTGAAATACAGCAGACTTCTGTGGAGACACCGAACCCATCTTTATCAGAAACCTTTGTCTATTGAGGCTACCAATTTGCAAATCATTTTCTGTATTTCTTGTGTTAAAATACAATCTTAAAGATGGTCAGTTTAAGATGATCTAAGCTTCTGGGACAGGATAGCATGAGCTGTAGTTTTTCACTCTATTTTATGGGGTAAATAAAACACGCTTAATGCCACAACATACATCTGCAGCTGTTGCATCTCTGAGCTGGARCTCGGCTCAGCCCTGCTGCCTGAAACCAAGGGCAGTTTCTCAGTGGGTGAGGTCCATTTTAGCACTTGGATTAATGAGTTCATCAGTTAGCACTTGGCAAGCAATTGGCTCCGGGACACTGACCCACATATATCTGAGAATGGAGGCGCCCACAGCATGTCACTGTCCAAGTGCTTTGGACGTGGGTTCCTGGCCTGCTACTCACGACTCATGGAAATCCATTTTGCTCAAGATGTACTGACAACCCTGTAACTTTTCCTTTAAACTTGTTCCTATTCACTGATTCACTGTTTTATAGTGATGCTGCTGCATCACTAAATGGAATTGCTCATTTACTTACCAATTTTTTCCTTAAAGACTTGGATGATACTGTTTTAAAATGTGCGGCTGGACAGCACAACGTAATGGTTTCTCTTTGGAGATCAATGTTCACATTTGGAATAGGCCCTCTGTAAAAATGCATCAAATGACCTCAGTCTTACCCCTAGTGGTATTCACAACTACCACAGCAGAGGCTGCAGACTCACTCATTTTGGGGTGGCAGCTCGTATTTGAGAAGAGCACAGTGAAGTAGTGACCACGGGTGCATGAGAAGAGCTTAGTGTGGAAACCGGGTCTACTTCTACCAGCTTTCAAGCTTCCATTTAAAAGCAGTAAATAACTTGAGCCTCTAAGGAACTGAAACCCACAAAATTTCACAACTCTGCCTCTCACAATAGTTACTTCACATGCACTTGCAAGCATGCATAACAATACTAATGTACTGCACATGTCCTGCTCATCAGACATGTGCCTGACCAGCTGCTGACCAACATGTCTGTGAAAATTAGACATTCTTCTGTCCTTCTGTTTCTTGCAACACAGCACAGAATAACCTCGGATGATCTGAGTGGCAGCAGCCCTCTGGGCAGTTCCCTAGTTAGCAAGCTGAGCACGGGGCACATGCCATGGATCTGACAGAAGGTGCTCGGAGTCTGCTCTGTCTGCACCGAGTACCATTTTAGGTTCCATTTGTTGTGAATTTTATGTCTATTTACAAAGCTCGTCTGGTCTTTATTACTGATAAAAATGAGCTAGAGATTGCTATACAAACTGAAATTCAACATGGAGGTTTCAGAAGGGTGCTAATGAGAGACCAGTTAGCCATTCTTATTTCTCTTTTCCATATTGCAGGAGAAGAAACAACACAGATTTATGAAATTACTGTACTGATGAAATCTGCAATTAAATCTGCCTTGTCAGGACAATAGAAATGCTGCACTGATTAAAAAAGAATTAATATCAAAGCAAATCAGCTGCCCTGCAAGTTTTTAAATAGCACCCTATATCGGCTAAGGCATCATCTCCTGTCTCTTAATCTCACACATTTGGGATATGTGACTTCAAACTAGTCATCCACGCTTTAGAGAGGCTCCCTGCTGTCAGCCTTTTGCCAAGAGGGTGGCAACATGTCCTGGCTTGCTGCTGGCTGCTCCTGGGGGCAGAGCTTGCCCATGGAGCCCTATGTTGCCTGCCACGATTGCTGCTCCACGTGCCAGGGCAGTGTGGCCCAGGCCAGGGCTGGCCCTGCCAGCATGATCCCACMATGGTAAGAGAGTAAATCTCTTTTGAGGTGAGCACTGAACTTCATTCTGCGTCACCCCTTCTTTGCTGAGGACGCCAGGACACAAGAGTGGTCACGTACTCGTGCTCGAYAGGTTGTACATGTGGCCAATATGCACATTAGAGACCACTGCGCTCTTCGTCGTGCTGGAGATCAGCTTGCTTTCCAGAASTGGAACACGTTTGGGCTGCCTCACTTAGTAAACAGTTCTTCCAGAAAAAGAAAGAAGGAAAACGTACAGAGAGGCCATATTCCCATATTCTGCTGCTGGAGGTGCTCAGGGCAGCTYGGGGAGGAGTTAAATTATAGCTGTTTTTGTGCTCACCTGAGTCTAGTTTGTGCCCTGGRGGGTTTTCCCTGGATTGGGAGGGGACATTCAAGCCTCTCTCTCTCTTGGTGTCTGGAGATGGCCAGAGGAAGCCCTGGCCCTGCTCCCCAAACCAGCAGCAGACAAGGGTGCGACTCAAAAGGCACTATGTTGGTTACATACTGTCCAAAGTTACTTTTTCACATATATAAATACATTTAAGCTGCTGGATGTCATCCCCTAGCCAGATAGGAAACACCTATGTTTCATGGTATGTAACTCTGGTTCAGTCTCTAAGTAATATAACATATTTTGGTCTACTTGGTTTTCAGAAAGATTCTACTCAGATGAAGTACCTGAAATATCCATTAGCTACTCGGGAACCAAGTGAGTAAATACGACTAAAAAGACAAGTGCTTCCACAGGGTTAGGTGCCTTTAATCCTTACTATCTCCTCCCACAAGCCCTTTTTACACTGCCATGGTSGCAAAGCACAAAGCCACCCTCTAATACATCCATATCTCAATTTCTGCTCATGGTGCTTTCCAGGAGTGCATGTAGCCACTCCAGAAATAAAGTGACACAACACCAAATATTTTTGATGAATTATGTGATTCTGCTTCTATTTCCCAGCAGCTGAATACAGCTTTTCCTAATGTAGCTTTTCCTAGGTTACAGTGTTTTGGTTCCTCTCTGTATTTCTGGTCAAAATCCAGATGGAGCTCAAGCATATTTTTATGTGCAGTACCTTTCCACTTTCAGCATATAAACTTGGAGCTATCTGTTATATCTATCAGTGATAAAATGTGATGCATCTAATAGTGCCCAGCTTTCTTTTCATGTAGCAGATTCCATAAATCTGCATAGCAGCTCTTCTGGAAACTCAAGAAATTAAATTTAAAATGCCAGTGCTAACTGGAGGTTAGTGGCTGTTTCTGTGTGAGTCATGCTTTTTTGTGACTCATTTGCACAATAATATGTTGCTAGAATGAGCATTAAGAAAAGCAAGAGTCTATAACAACACTGGCAGTAAGGAGCTCCCATGAATACATGAATGAGATCTCAATTAATACTTCAATCAACTAACCACTCCTCTTCTTGGAAATGGCAGTATGAACATGTGCTAGCAACTTTAAAATAGAATTAATTCCTTTGCACTATCGATTTCTTAGGCTTTCTTTGTTTCTGTCATAAGCATTTTTGCCATTTCACTTTTAGTTGCATTTCCTTATAAGCTTGGGAAAACCTTGTCATATTTATCCAGTGAAATACCAAGCTTATTTGGGATAAACAGGAGGTAATCTTTGAGCATGAGATTTTTAAAGAAACTGTCAGCTGTGTCATCTGACAGGTTTATATATTTATTACATTTATATGTATTTCTTAAAGATCCAAACAAAATCARTTGCATTATTGTGCATATACATTTCATGCAAAGCCAGGAGGCTAAATGATATTTCTGAGCCACAAAAAAAAAAAAAGAATATCACTTTCAATGCCATCCTAAAATGCCCTATCTTTTGTTTTCCATTTTGAAGCAGTTTCAATAATTTAATCTACCTTATAGCCACAATAACTTTCCCCTTTCATGTTGTCAAGTCAGTTGTTTGTAAGCAACATCCCAACTGGCATCCTGMCACTTCTGGACTTCTCTAACCTCAAGCATAATTGCTCTGCAGAGAAAGGGCAAGGATTATTATTAAACAAAGATGGACACAAATAACACAAGACTGGTGGCACCGCGTGACAGCAAAGGTAGATGAACTGCGCTACCCTGTCTCTGACAGTCACAACGGTAAGAAACTTGCAGAAAAGCACAAACAAATTAGGATGCTTTCCAAAGCCATAGATGATGTTCTTTTCTTTTTTTCAGTCTAATTTTGTCCTAAGTTTCTTTTGGACTTCTGGACTGCACGGCAAGTGGGATTGACCTGGTGTGGGGGTTCACTTGATATTGTTCCTGCTATTGCTAACATTTGCTTTACTTGTTTGACTGCAACTGAGCACTAACTCATTATTTTCACAGGTCTATCTATTATAACTACAAGATCTCTTTTTTGAGTGGTCACACTTTGTTCAGAGTCCACRGAGATGTGTGTTAAACATGGACTGTATTCCGCCTATGTCATTACTTATAATTTATCACCACAGAGATTCATCTGCCACTGTATCACTCGGTCACTCAGGGCCATGATAGCCTTCTGCAATGTTTTATGGGCTGTTTCTTTTCTCTATTTCAAGTGAAATTGCGAAGAACATTGTCATTTTATCTTCATCCCTTTTCCCAGATCTTTTCTGAATACAAATACCTTGTGTGTGTGTATATATATATATATATATACACACACAATATACACACAGGTCTCACTGCTGCCAAGACTGATAATTATAATTTACTCCTACCCTCTATTTCCTAGCTACAGTCTAGAAAAGGACTTTCTCTCTTATTCCTACAGTCTTTTTTTTAAAAGACTTTGATGAAAGACTCTGCAAAAAGCCTTTTAAAAAAACAAGACAAGATTCTCCCTTCTCCCTTATGCACAGGATCACCCACTTCAAAAACCTGTGCGGCACCAGCTCCCAATACAAGAAGCCATGTTGACCTTTCCATTATGGCACATATGTTCATGTGTTTGTCTGTGCGTGTCCACAGGGAAACTTCTTTCCTGTGAGGGTGACAGAGCCCTGGCACAGGCTGCGCAGGGAGGCTGTGGAGTCTCCTTCTCTGGAGGYCTCCAAACCCRCCTGGATGCCRCCCTGTGCCYCGTGCTCTGGGTGTCCCTGCTGGAGCAGAGGGTTGGACTRGATGATCTCTAGAGGTYCCTTCCAACCTCAACCATCCTGTGATTCTGTGAGACTTTAAAAAATATATATATTCTTTTTTATAGTGTCTATCACTTCGCTTTGTAAAGCTGTCAGACTTCTTGTCTGTAGTTGTCTATAGGTGTCTACAGGTGTCTTCTGCAGCCAGATCTCTCAGCAGGAGACATTTCACCCTTGACCACAAGTAAATGTTTTTCTCAAGTAAATTTTATACACAGTAAAGCACTTACCTTAAAAGCCAAAATGATGCTTATGAAAAGAAGTATAATCACAACCAGACAGGTTGGGTTCACAGACATGATCTCTTCCTTGTAGGGAAAATTGGTGGGCTGCAAAATCAATGAGAAGGAAAATACTGTAAATTAATTCCAGGAGTCATTTAAGAGTCATTCAGTTAATGCTGTCTGTAATTAATAGCTCACAAGACTTGTGATGTATTAAATCCAGAGACCTCAGCACCAACAACCAGTTCCTGAAAGCCTGGCTGCAGCGGTGAGTACAGGGCTGCAAAGTCTCAGCCTGCCCAATGCTCACTGGAGGGCTGAGAGATTTGGGGTTTTGCTTGTTGTTTGTTGTGAGTTTTGTTCTTTTTTTCTTTTGTGCACATTTGTTTTGCACCTCAGGTCCTTCTGTTCTCTCATACATGAAATGGAAATGACAAAATTCTTCTTCCTTCTTAGAACAGGCTCCAGTGATTAGAGTTTTGAAGCATATCAGGATCACTGGCTGAAAAACAGCCTCTAACTATGTTTTCCTATATTCTTTTTGGCTCGAAGGGAATTATGCCATAGCTGTTCCTCTGAAGTGAGTGTTCCAGACTGTTGTGAAATATTGCAATGCACAACTTCTTTTTTCACACAGAATACATTATAGCCCATACACCATAAAAGATACCCTCCCTGCAACACTTCTTTGTCACGGGCATTGAGTACTGGCACAGGCTGCCCTGGGAGGTTGTGGAGTCTCCTTCTCTGGAGGTCTCCAAACCCRCCTGGATGCCGCCCTGTGCCCCGTGCTCTGGGTGTCCCTGCTGGAGCAGGGGGTTGGACTGGATGATCTCTAGAGGTCCCTTCCAACCTCAACCATGCTGTGATTCTATAATTAGCCACTTCTACACACAACCTCTTTGTCTTTACAAGTTAATCTAATTAATTAAGCAGGTCTGCTCTGCCTCCTCCTCTGGACAATTAAACATAGCTGCATGCTCAGCTATGACAGTGTCAATYCAGAGAAACTCCTGAATACCACTTACACCCGAGCTCTGCAGAGCGCATCGGGAAATTCTCTTCCATGACAGCTGTTAGTGAGAATTGTTCCTTAGCGCTTCCGTGAGCTGTTACGAGAGGTTAACATCAACAGCTGCTCTAACCATTGGAAGCTAAGTGTTACATAAGCACATTTTCCGCTTCTTGACAGCAATGCTTCTGTTCTTGCACTGAGTTTCATGGCTGGAGTTCTTATCCCTTTATCTTCTTTGTCAAGATACAGTTTTGTTGGCATCTAGTTTGTTAAAATGCATTGTGTTACTTTTTTTTTTCACATAAAAAGGCTACTGCTAAACAGAGTGGATGCAGTCACCCAGAGATGAAGAAAGGAAGGGCATATGTCGATAAAAGAGGCACTGGAAAATAAGCACAGATATTATATGTGGAAAGTTTAAGATTTCATGCCTCAGCTGACCCTGCTGCTCACAGAYAGTCATGATAAAACTGCTAAAATAGAATTCTACTTAGTGCTACCCGATTGTTAAAAAGACAAACTAGCTCATGAATGGAATAAAAATTCCCAGTGGGGCTTTGGTCCCGTTTCACTCTGGGTTTGGGAATCCAAGGGAAGCTGTCACCAGCTGCAGATGGGACAACTGACTTGCTGCTGCTCTGCACRGAGCCTCATGGCCCATTCCCAGACCCAGCTCAACAGGGATGTACTTGGAGGCAAGACAAGGGTGGGAAATGGCCAGTGCTGCTCCTGCAACCCTGAAGAGCAGCAGTGTCTGCTGGGCCAAGGCTACGGCCTGTCCCAACCATCAGTGGGGCACGTCCCACGCTGTGGAGCAGTTTGAAGCATCTGCTCTGACCGGCCCCTTCTCAACAGGACAAGTTTGATACCGCTCTGTCCTCCATTTCAGCTGAAAGCAGGTACCAAAAGTGGGTCCGTTCATTCTCTGAACACATCCACCACCCTCTGCCGGGGCTGGCATCACCTGGGTATGAAGGCAGGTGTATGCGGTGGGAAGGGACAAATTGCACTCCCTGCTGCCGTGCTGGAGGTTGGTCCCCATGATGAAATCAGGAGGTGAAATCCTGCTGGGGAAAAGGCCCCGGGCAAAGGGCTCAGGTGAGCACATGGTGAGGGCACCAGCGCTGCAGCTCCCTGACAAGCGTTGGGCAACATTTCCTGAAGCTGAGGGAGCAGCAGCCCAGTGGGGTGGCAAAATCAAGCCTATGGACAGGCATTCACCTGGGTGACTTTGCAGCGGGACATTATGCAGTTTTATCTTTTTAATAAAGCGGGAGTTGTAGCAGTGTGGGACCAGCATGCTGAAGTCATCATCAGTGTGCCATTCATCATAGTGCCATGAATGTTGTGTGCAGCCCTGAGAGTGCTACAGACATAATACTTCCATCCCCAAAATATTGCTGCTCACACATAGCAAAGCCGTAGTGTTCACTTTAAAAGAATCTAAAATTTGCATGGGAAGAATATTTCTGGTACACTGTACAAATCCTCAACAAAAATAATTTCTTCAGGCCTCTAGCCCCGTCCTATTCTCTCAATCTGTTTGCATAACCTTTTATATTTTCCTTCTGTTTAGAACACAAATGTGTACTTTAGAACACAGCAAGAAATCTCATTCACCAGTTATACTACTTTGAATATTAATATCTTATAGAATGTAAASAAAACAGTGTTTTTAGAATTTTTTAAGCCATTGTATGAATTCAATCATATTCCTACTTTGGAATTATGAAATGGCATTAAAAAAATATCAGAAAGGGTATTCCCTACTTAAGATATAGTTCATAATAATAATATCTTTGTTTAGTCTCTCTTACATTCTATAGACATTTCCCCTAGAATTTTAAAGCAAAATTGATACAACCTTAACTGCTGGACAGCAGTACTCCAGTTAGTTGCATAGTAAAGCTATGTAATATACTTCAAAATTTTCTTTAAATAAACTGCAGTAGTTCAGTACTTTAATAAAAAATGAGTTTGCATAAATCAGTTGCAGACCACTCCGCTCCGTACCTCTGGTTGAATTCCTTATGTATGCTGTATCAGATGATAGAAGATTGAATGTTTAATTTTAAGGTTTTAGAAAGTACGTATATCAAAGATTTAGTGAGGATAAAGAATTGTGATTTAGGTCAAACTACTTTAGGCCCCTACTTCTCCAGAAGCAAAGCTACTTTTGTTTTAAATATGCAGTATTTACTGTAAGGAAGGAGTTTATTGCCCCTTACAGTGACAGTCACAACTTTACAAAGTTTTACAACATACAATATTTCAAATGCTGGATTTGTAACAGCTACTTTACATGACTCTTCATGTTGAGATGTTCTGGAAATTGAGGAGATTGTGACACACCTGTGCGCAACTGGGTATTAGAGGACAATGAAAAGTTTCCAAAGACATTTACAGCTCTGAAAGCAGCAAGTCAGCATAGACTGACATTACAAAATAGCCTGTGGACGTTATGTTCCGTATTTCAGAACTGCACCAATTTTAGCTAGGGCTCAGCTTACACTATTGATAGGCACTTTATTTATTGCCCTGCTGAGCGTACGTGGAGCTTTCTGCAGAGGCTTCCAACTCACCACCCACGGACTTACAYCTGGGCACTGAAGTGAACAGATAAAATAACTCCTGATACTAGCATGGATAAGAGAAAAGGTTAAAATAGGGGCTTGACCTTAGAGTGCCAATGGCATTGTAAGAAAATAAGKACTGAAGTTTTTCTAACGTTCTTCACTGACAGCCAATAATACTCCATCACCACATGCATACATTCTTCCAGCTATTCTGTGATGAATTTGCAAAAAGGATGGGGATTTTTCATTTCCTTTATGGAGCCTGGGGTGCCCCCTAAAATATCACTCCCCAAATTCACAGCAATTTTAGATGAAAGAGCATTGTAAGAATGCAAGAAAGAACTCAACTCGGCCCTGTCCTTTCTGCCTGYCTTGGCAGGCCTCTGCAAAGGGGATGTGGGCAAGATGCCTGTAGCAATAGGCCAAGTGCCTGCTTCCAACTTGCATGACTATGGTCTCTCCTCTAGGAACAAGGGTATTAATTGCAGTCTTGTTCTAAGCATAGGTCTTAAGACTACAAAGAAATATAGCACAAACATTATTAAAAGAGAAACAAATCGCTGGTACAAAGCTTGTTCACCAATATTGGGGTTCTAGCACTGTATTGCTGRCATTGCCATGAACTGGAAAGGCTTGTTTTTTGTTTCATCTTATCCTGTATTTAAATATCTGATGCTGACAGATGTGATCTTCCCCTGTTGATTTTGCTCTTGCCCTCTCAACAGAGTGTATTTGCACTGACCAAATGTAAGGCCCCTTCACTGACTGATGTGGACCTCAGGAAGAAGTGAGCGAACAGATTCCTGATGAACTATTTGGGCTTGGGACCGCAGCTAGGACAGAAGAGGGGAAAACAGCTTCAAAGAAAGTTATTTAAGATAATTAAGACTGTAGTACATCRACTGAAATCAACTACAAATTTTACAAAATTCACCGTGGCTCTGTGCAGTTTTTGCCAGTCCCTCATCTCCACTGTGACCACTGAAATGAAAACAGGTTCTTGTTTCGAACTGAGCTTGACTTGGATTAACTTTTAGGTACTCATTCTCATTATGTTTCTSCTCTAACTTAAAGAGCCTCTGAATACTTAGTTACTCTGCATATAAAAACTGTAATGACATCACTTGTCACTCACCTTTCTTGGTAAGCTAAGCAAGAAAAGTTGATTGTCCCTCATCATGCAACGTTGCATCTCATTTTCACAGTTTGGGGAGGAACTTTTTTGCATATTCTCTGACTTTTCAACATTGTTCGTAACACCCAAACACCAGAAGTATTTGCAACTGATAACACCAATTCAGAAGGAAAATATCCTATTACTATTCACTGTACCTACTTATTTATGTCCAGAAAACGCAAGAGCAGCTTTTGCAAATAGAAAATAAAAAGAACTGGAGACCCCTATTCCACCACTCCATAGATTGTCTTCAGAGTCACTTTGCCTCAGGTACAGTTGCCATACAAGAAGATCATGAAGTCTGTGGGATTTCATTACCAGTYCAGAAGAGATTTACATCAGTAAGACAGAAGTCTGTGCAACCAAGCATTTCAATGCCAAGAGTACAAACTAACTGGACCTGCTCATTTAAAAATCAAGTATTCAGAGTAAATACTGTTTAAATGTTCCTTGACTGTCAGTGAATGGAAAGTACTTCTACACCCCATGCAATATAAACATGCTATATTGCTTATTTCCAAATCCAGAACAGAAACATAGTGATGACTCTTTCCTTTTTTGAATCAATAATTTCTTTGTCTCTGCTTTGCTTCTCCTTGGGTATTCTTTTTTTCTAATAGCCTTTTCTCCTTTCCAGCTACAGATTTTTCTCTGAGGTATTTAGATTTGTTAATTATTTTTTAACTTCTTGTAGTTTTAATAAAAGTTTCATTAAATTCAGCTAGCTGGAAACAAAGCATCTCAACAGCATGGAAACAAAGCATCTCAACAGCATCTCAACCTCATTCTTAAAACGAGGTTAGGAAATATCCACCTTTCTGCAAGTCAAATGGTAGGACCCACCTCTGTGCCTAGGCATACCAGAGAAAAACGTTTTATGGAGGCATGTGGACAGCAGACAGTGGCCACACTGGATGGGAAGGAGAAACATATCGTTCTTGGAGTTGTTGCTGGAGTTAGGTTGAGGTAGCAACCATGGCTAAAAAGTATTCTTCTACACAATTTGAAACATCTTGCATGGTATTTTCCTCTTATTTCTGTTGTGGAAGGATTCTGAATTACAGGATTGACACTGCTGTTTTCAAAGCTTTTCGAGAGAATCATCTCTTCTCTCCCTCCTTTGTGCAAGTCCCAGCTGTGGCACCACACAATGTGTTTTCTGCASAGCAGCAGTGACTTTTCTGCGTGCAGCTCCCAGCCTGTTCCTGTCCTCAGGCTCCTGCTTTTCCCCTCACATTCTTGCACAGTGACCAAGACAGAGTTAAACCTGGTTAGAACTAATGCTCTGAGAAGGGAGGAGAGTTAGGTCCACAGCACCAGTTCATCATGCAAGCCTGAAGATGCCTGTGCTGCCCCAAGCAAGGGGCTGCCACTGGGTCAGAAACAGGGACCACAGGCAAAGGACAAGCAGGAGGGCTCCGTCTGGTGCCAGTGCACTTAAAGCACTCATCAAGCCATGACCTTGATTTGCTGTTTTCCACTCATATCTCTGGGTATCTGTTGAATTATTCCTCTCTCCYCTTCCACTGTGAACGTATGAGGGTGTGAAATAAAGCAAAGGATATCACCAGCCCCTGACACACTCAGCTCCTGAAGGCSTGACACATTGCCACTTCCCACAGATCCTGAGTGACTGCTTATCTGCCTGCTGCTTCTCATTACCTGCTGTTTATACTTCCCTGGTTCTCTATCCCCATAACAAAAAGTTATAGCCAAACTAATCTGAATTAAAGTACTCAGGGCAGATTTTCAGTGAGCTGCAGGAATAGCTGCTCCCAGAACTCTGTAACTCCATCTGAATCCCAAGCTAAAGTCCTGTGATGAGAGGGAGGTCAATACATTTTTGTCCTTACTGTATGTAGCTGCAGCCATATCATGTAAACTCACATGATTGTGGCTGTGGTTCCTTGGCCAAAGTAGATGATAGCAAGAAGGGAGCCTGTAGCTGTCCCTAACAAAGAATCTGACAATATTTTCTGGCAAAACTAAACCTATCTTGAATCAAACTCCTGCCTATTGAAATCTGTGCTAAATTCACCACATTTATTCAAAGGAGAAACAAACTAACCTTGAAATAGTATCAAAATAATTGATCTACTAATTGATCCACTCTATATATCAACATTGTAACTGAATCCAAGGGCAATCACTTACTGATCTGTGTCTTGAAATATAATTCTCATTTTAATTAAAATGGGGCTTCCAGCTTTCACAACATTGCCAAACTTCAGAACTCTGCTCAAATATTGTAAAAGTTAGTAATTCAACCACAAAGGGAGGTTGAATATAGACCATCAGCTCTATCTGAGGGGAAACTTCAAGGACTGCATAGGAAGTCCACAGTAAACCACTGGCTGGAAATGGAGGACAAACTGCATTTCCTCAGTTTTCCCTACAACCCCAAGGTCTGTGAACATCAGTTGATTTACCAGCTGGCGGAGGTAGTCCTGAATAGTGCTGGGATAGACGAGTACACTGATGGCAACCAATGTGTTGAGAGCAAAGTCGAAGATCTGGTAACAGAAGAAAGGAATGATCCAAGCAGCATGTTGCTGAAACGGAAATAAAATAAAAACTCATCAGCCACAAGTTAAAAATGAGATATTTCTTTCTTCACTGAAATATAAAAAATCTTAAAAATAGTTCAGAGAATGTAGTATTATATTTCATGAAACCATAACAGAAAATGACTCTTTAAATGAGCTAAAAGTAACATGACATTCAGCCAAAAGAGTTGGACAGACCACCATGGATTCCAAAATTATACTATGGCTGGTCTAAGTCCCGCAGCTCATTTAACTGTAGACATGTAGAAACCACATAACATTGCCCTTACTTTCTTGGATATAGCCTTTTCTTTTTATCTTTTTTTTTTTCTTCTATAATTAATGGAATTGATATCTGTACAAACTCCAGGCTTRGGAGCTCGCTCAGATTTGAAATTGTCGGCAACAAACTTAATTGGTCAGTCTTCCKCCCTAATGCAAGGGGCCATGAAATATCACAGATATAAACCATGAGTTCTATTTCGTCGTCTTTTTTTTTTCTGCTTTCAACTAAACAACAACTAAAGAAACTGTTGGGAAGTAGTTTTCTTAATTTAGTTTCTACAGAGTTTTAAAAATCACTGATTCATGCCTTTATTGACTATAATGAATTACCTTATATGCTCCATATGTAGCCATTGCACAGATCAGAATCATAAGGAGAGAAATTGCCGTAGCTATGCACATATCTGGAAGAGAAATACATAAAATGATTGCAGATTAATACAGAGCTCAGTTCTGTTATTTTGCCATCTGCCTAGCGCATCTTGAGGAGCAAGATGGTCAAGTGAAGTGGAGATGAGGGCAAGTAGGTCACTCATCCTACACTGCATGAAATCTCTGGCTCCTGAGGGAAACCTCCCGAACAAAATGAGAAAAAAAGAGCAACAGTTGATGAACACAGCACACTGAACAAGCATCTGTAACCTCTACCAGGTCGGGGAGATGCTGTGAATATTTTCATTTTTCTGAGATTTTCAATAGTCAGGACAAGGCTTGACTAGAAGGCTCTTCTTCCTTGTGATGATGACCTCCACATAGTACTAATGTGTAGTGAAAGGTAACCAACACTGACATATCTGAGGTTGTCAAGCCCACAAAAAGCTCATCAGGAACCAGTGGGCTAGCTACTACCCATGACCTTAGGAGCATTTATACCCTGCCCAAAACTCTATCTGCTGTGACACAGCACCCAGTATGAGCAGAGCTCACGTGGGTCAGCAGGAACCACTGTCACATTTTCAACGACCATTGTGGAATCTGGAAAACATACACAGGTTAAAAGTGATGTCCATATTGACCTAAATACCTAAGTTCARATTAATCTCAGCAAGACCAGGATCTTCTCATTACTGCCACTCTTACTCCATGACTAACCCAAAGGATGCCACGCTAAAATGGGTYATAAAACAAACAAAAAAAGAAAAAACACCATAGAGTGTTTTTGCACTATGGCTCATGTATCTCTAAAATCTTTTTTTAAAAAAAGGAATTTCTAAAATGGAAATTGGAGAAGGCATCTTAGAGTAGGAATCCCRGAAACTTTAATTTCACCTGAGAATATTCCAGAGTTGTACTGCTGGAATTACTGTCTGGAAAGGCAGCGTAGCATTAGAAGCAAAATACTCTTGCAGCAATTACAGAAGCCCTACTTTTTCCTYCTGTGGGCACTGAGCTTTCAGTTAACTTCTCATTGCATTTTAGGTGTTCCTAAGCCATGAACTGCTGGAAGGGGATTCTGGAGGAAAGAATAACATTTGACCTTTTCCCGTAGACCTTGGTCCATGCCATTACTGRCTGTAGTGAGAATGTAGTCAGAAATAAGACTGTGTTTGTGAGCCTGAATTATTCACAACAAAACACTGTATCTACTTTTCGGAGGGTAACAGAGCATACAAAAATAAAAGAGGATGCAATATATAGGGACATCATCTGTAGCATTCCCAGCTGGCCTGTGAGACACCTGCTGCTTAACAGCTCTGTTACCAGCTGCTTTTAAATGCCTTTCCTGAGGAAGCATCAGGTAGAACTGGGTCACGCTGAAGTATAAGACAGAGTTCACTACTCATCACTRCCTGGCTCTGGAGACACCTAAGGTGCTAGAATTCCTCTATTTGATTCCAGAGTTGCCACGGCATGTGATATGAAGTGCAGCACATGGAGAAGCAAGCCCTTGGTAAGGGAGGCCTCCTTCAGCAAAATGTGGGTCTGTGCAGTTGCCTTCAAGCCTGTGGTGAAGCCCCTCAGAGGGCCTGGCTTGGCTTTAGCCACAGGGCAAACACTGGAATCCTTGAGTTAGTATCAAAATAAATGACTTGTGCCGCCCTCATCTCCCATCCAGGCAACCCAGCCCTGAGTTTTGCTGCGAGAGAACTGCCATAAGGAGCTCCCTGGGCTCCTGCTTGTGATTCAGAAGGAGCTGACATCTTGTTAGGGCATCCCAAGCTGCTCTTTGGAGCAACCTCTTTCTCTTCATCAATTGTATAAAGAATATGATACTGATATGTAGCTTAGTCACTGAGTTATACGCCATGAACAATCTATCTTTTTAGGTGCTGTAATAGCTGTGCTGTTTATTACAGGAAAGCTCAATTCTGTCCTCAACAGAGAGAAGCATCTAAAAAGAAGCCGGTGAAGGCCTAATGAAGGCTACCTCTTGGATCAATTTTGTCACTTTGAGAAATCAATTTTAAGGTGCTGCTCATTTATTTATTCTGACCATTCTTAACCCCATTCACCTAACTTACTGTTTCCAAGGGAAAGCTGCTCCCGCTGGCAGTGCTGGCAGATGGAGCAGAGACACGGGCCTTGCTTTGTTCATGATCCTGGMAGCGCTGGTTCAAAGCCAGACCCTGGTAAATTGTTATAAACTTGACATGCTCTTATCTGGCTTGCTCGTGTTCCCAGTCGTTTCTGTGTCCTTGCCCTACCAAGTCGTACTCGGCCCAAGCTGGTTCTTTCTCAGTTAAGACTCAACTGCATTTACTGTGCTGTGTTGACTTAGATTAATGAGGATGAAACTAGATACTCAGCAGAGTAAATGAGAAGGTGACAGAGGTGTATGCTTTTCTGTAGCAACTGCTCTTGCTGTACTTTCCATGGTATCTGAGGAGAACTAYATTTGGATTACTGCAGAATTTTTCTACCTTATTGTTTTTGATGTCTGTTTTGAGTTTTTGGTTTTGTGTTTTAAAGAAACCAGTGGGATGTTTTTTCCTCCTACATTTTGCAATGAGTTCAGAACTTCTTGCCTGTGAGGAGGACTCCTGCTTCCCGCTTTAGGGAGAAGATGCTGCCAGTGCTGGGCAGTGCTCCTACTGTGGCACTCACATGGGGCATCCAACACAGAGGTTGTCCCACTGCAGGAGTTCCCTCCTGGGAACCACCGTCCCCCTTGCAGACACGTCCCCTGCCTAAGAGATGGGTCCTTCTCCCTCTGCCTCTCCCTGGGGAGGGTGGTGGCGGCTGTGGGGAAGCAGCAAGGACCAGCCATGGGGGCAGTCCCCGAGCTGGGACCCACACAGAGCCACAGAGCCGTCGTGTCCCCTGCTCGTCGTCTTCCCSAGCCCTGGAGTTCTCTGCTGGCTCWGAACTGCTGAGGCAGAGGCTGGAAAGCTCCTGATGAGCAGCCCACACTCCTCAGACAGCTCTGATCCCTGCAGCCTTATTTACCCCGTAGCCCGCTCTCTTTCCCGCTAGCCGGGGATTACGTGTTCACGGGGTGTCTCCTCCAAGCTGCTGTGCGAGCCGCGTGCCTCTGCTCCAAGCCATGCAGCAAGCCACATGTCAGCACTATTTTCTCTCCAGGACATGAGGGAGGCAGTGGGTAGAGAAGAGCTTTCCTCACCTTTGAGCCCAGCTCATTTCCTCCAGAGGATGACGCTGGGCAGCAAAATGCAGCCCTGAACWGGCTACGCTGGGGCAGGGGTTTGTTTTACTCCCCATATAATGGGGAGTATGCTGCACTGGAGATGCTGACAGAGAGGAGGCAGGACACTTTACCACTTCCCTTCTCCCCCAGTCCAAGCCTGCTGTCTGTGGCCTTTCTTAGAAACATATTTATATTTGAATTAATCTTTTTAGGCCCCAGATGCATGTCACATTGCCCGAAGAGAGCATCCATCAGTGCACCCTGCCTTGCGGTCCCTTGGGCTCTGCACAGCCCAACAGCTCTGCTCTCTCCCTCGCATGTCCCAGGGCAGCGACGCAGGCTGATTTTGGCCTCATTCTCTAGCAGCGGGGCTCAAGTTCCCATGAATTTCTGCAGGGCACACAGAGAATTTCAGTCCTAGTTTTCCTATGGCTTCTGAAGTATCACATACATCTGCAACACTGTGGAGGTTGTAAATAAAGACAAGCAACGGAGCTGCTGGGCTGTTAAAATGTCAGGATCACGGTCCATATACCGGGCAAGCTGAGCAGGAGTCCCAGGTGAAAGCCTTAGAAAAGCTGTGATGATCTATACGGCTTTCCCATCTTCTGCGGAGATTATTAATCATTTAATAGCAAAGGTATTACACAGGCAGCTAAAGCATTTCTAGTGTTTCCTAGTCCAGCTAGTGGTTCATAAACTCTCTCAGGTCCTAAGGAAATAATAAAAATTRAAATGACAGTAACTGGACTCACAGGAATGTCCAGCACAGTAGGAGCCTGGAGTTTTCCCTAGTTCCCAGATGTAAGCGAGTCAGCCAAACCACACACACTTGTCCTCACTGTACATCCATCTGCAAATCTGCAATTGCCTCCTCCTCTCCTCTCCTCTCCTCTCCTCTCCTCTCCTCTCCTCTCCTCTCCTTCCGTATTATTTGTTTTCTAAAATAGAAAAGCTATATTTTACAACTATTTATAAGTGCTCAGGTAAATGTGCTCTGCTTAGTAGAGCACTCATTGCTGTCCCTACGGTAATGCCATAGGGACCAGGCTAAATCCTGAATTTATGGATGAGCAGTCATTTGCAGAAGAACTGATGCTGCACTGGCATTTCCAGGCATTTTGCACTATGCTGGCTCTGCTTCTCTTCATATGACAGGACTATTTTCCCACTGCAGTAACAGAATTTTGAAAATACTGCACAAGCCAGTCCTGGGCACACTTACAAATTTATAAGTGCGAATAGAAATATTAAGGGAATCCTGGTTCCTTGAAAGTCAAAGGCATATCTGTCATTAACTTGSTGGGAGCCATAATTTCATTACTATGACTCAGTAAATCTATTTTCAGCTGATGTTATGTCAAGGAGCCTCTCTGAAGAGGCTCTCACAAAGTCTGCATCTGCTTTTTTTCTGTTTGCTATTGATAGAGCAGTGTTGAGAATAACGGCTAGTATTTCTGTTGTTATCATTTGTCAGCACAAGTACATTTAGCTAACAACTTCAGGACCTTCACTAGCACAAAAATTCATGTATCCTGTAGCCTTAACTTATTGTATTTTGTATACACAGTTTCTGGTAAAAAAAAAAATCAGCAAATGTAACAATCCTAGAAACTTCTTTAACTAACTTCTAACTTCTAACTAACTTCTTTAGAAAATGACAAATAAAAAGAGGACACAAGATGGGTATGTGAAAGTCTGATGTATTATCTCAGAAAATAAATGCTTCCTTGTGTTTGAACAAATATAGTCATACTGCAAAGAAAAAAACAAGCAAACAAAAAAACCCCCAAAATCTTAATTCTCTCTGGCCAGCTATTTCCAGTAACTACAAAAGGCAGTAGCCTGATTCAGCTGTCTTTACTCAGTAAGGCACTAAACCTGAGGGAGTCAAAGAATAAAAGGAGACATTAATTCAGACGTTCATTYGTAATTTAACTGCCTGGGAAAAGTTCCCTTTACCAAATGGAAATGAGGTTGCCTGGCCCACAAGCCATCCATTTACTGCCTTTCAGGGTTCACTGCAGAAGCCTCAATAAAAAATACAGAAAATACAATTTTCAAATGTAGATGGAAATTCCCAATGTACTTGATCTGACAGCTATAGCATTACAAAACAGAATTACTATTTTAAAGCCTTGGGCACTGGCAGGCCTCTGATGTCGGCTATATAAAACCACACTGACAGACAGTTATTACCAAGGTTAATCTCTGAGAATTAGGACAAGGCAGTCAGTTTTAATATGTCAGAAGCAGCTAGGAGCCCATCTGTATCTACTATGGTCCTTACTTTCTTAAATCGAGTTATATAAAAAGATTTTTACTCAGAAGTTGTAGTTGCTTTCAATCAAGACAAGTAAAGTAGCAGTTGTCCCTATGCCCTCAAGTTATTCCTCCTATACCTGAGGCCCAGGAGTTCTGACACATCATGCCATAATTATTTTTCTCATGTATGGAGCTATTCCTTCTTCTGCTGATATTTTATGGACGTTAACAGGAATAATTAAAGAACTTAAAACCTTTTGCTGTGGATAGGTTATTCTCAGCACCAGTATAACTAGCATGAGACCTCACTTCAGACTTCAGTGAGAAATGTTGAGTGAATCCATTTTATAAAATGCAGATACAGAGACATTTTTATCAAAATCACATAGAGGACAACATTTTCTAAATACTACTCAAAATTTTAARGCAGACCAACAAGCAAACAAACCAAAGCACTATCAAAGCATTTTTAAAAGTTATGGAAGAAAGAAGTATTTTTCCTCAGAAGGGATAGGAAGCTTCTCTAGGAGATATAAATGGGTCTAAATCACTCTTCCCTGAAATTGCTTTGAAGCTTTGCTATGTCTTTTGGCAAGTGCAGGAAGCAGCTCTGTATTATCACTACCACAGTGATACATRGTTAATATTTATTCTTGCATGTGTTACCACAGGCTTGCACAAGTCACGCCATATGCACATGAGGGGTGAGTAACTATGCGCAGCGGGGATGAACACTTTCAGGCCATTATATAAATAGCAGCATGTGTCTTTATGCATGTGCAGGCACTAAAAGACACTCCGCACGGAAGACCAGAGACTTCACAGCACCCTGTGTCGCACAAAATCCCACTGGAGGGATCCAGCATCACTTGAGGGACCACATCTCCATGACAAGGAGAAGTCAAAGCTCTGTCCTCACCTAGTCAGATAACAGCATAGCAGATAAGATTATTAACATAGTACACAAGGCTATTAATAGGTAAGCTTCTTGAACCATGCCATAAATACACCTTTCACAATAAAAATGTAACTATAAGATACCGTAGTAAAAAAATGACCAAAGCATAATTACAGAAACTATAGGATACCTACATAACTGCTGGAGAGCAATGAGTGTGAATAGTTAAACATCAGGTACTTACTGGCATCATCCATAAATTCAAATTCACCCCCTAACTCCGCACTTGTTAGGTGGTACTGGTCAGGATCGGTGAGGGCGCTCAGCAGGATCAGCAGCACCACCGAATTGATGATCTGCAGAGAGGAACAAGGAAGGGCATCAGGCTGTGAACGTGTGCAATGAAAACAGTCCGGAAAAGATATGCCCACCACAGGCTACACTGACTATGGTGGTGTTGGACTGCAAAATTTAAAGTATTTAGCTGACACTTCAATTAGTAGCTCTGGTTTGTATAAAAATAAGTATTTTTCCCCAGTGGCTRGAGAATGAAACAACAGCTTAGGTTACACCTTTTCCCTCCCACAACCCCAGACAAGTTACCAGTGCTCTTTCAGGTTGTAAAACATGCTAGAACATCCATCTCTGTTTGTGCTGTTGCAAAAACTAAAACCAATTTAAAAACAATCATCCCGAGAACGAGCACTGTAGTCAGTGATGACTAGCACGCAGAGCTGGGATTGAAGACATGTCCTGGTAAATTGCTTAATGATCAAGGAGAAGGTGATTTGCTGGGGGAGACTGAACTCTCAGGCCAAGGAAGATGAGCTGATTCACATGAACCTCCTAAATAAGAAGACCCAAGGAGGCAAGAGTAGGTGGCAATATTAGCCCAGTGGCCAATGCACMTTTTCCTATGTCTCATGCCACAGAGAGAAACTCACATACACCGAGATTTGTATAAGACACAACAAGTGAACAAGCAAGAAAATAAAAGAGAAAATTAGTAGAACCTGACTGCCAAGTACGAGACATTAAAGGAACGCAGAGGTAGCCAAGAACTGTATTTTGAAACACGTCTGACCAAAATGCTCAGATCACATTGAGGTGAGTAGGACTAATTGAAGAAAARAGATTGCACAGCATGAAATAACACAACCTGGCTAAAAGTTTATCCTCCAGAACTAGGGAGATAAGTGATTAAATGGTACACTGGGAGAGCTGGATTTTTACTGCAATGGTTCTGAATTCGAAGACATCCCAATCTGATCACAGGTTACAAATAGCAACAAAAGGGTAAGAACACAGGCTTAGATAGAGGAACAGGCTATCTTGGATAAGCTAAATGTTTTTGATGTGTAAATTCCACCAAGTTGAGCCAATTTCAACTCTGTTACCAATGATCTTTGAAAGGCACTTGAGAATAGGTCAGGTTCATGAGATGTGGAAAGGGCAAGGCCAGTGTGTGCCGTTAGAAAGCTGAAAGGTCACACAGAGAACTGCTGGTTAGAGTGTGAGATTTAAGAATAAAGGGACCCAAGAGCAAATAATCAAGCCTGAATGGCACTCAGAACTGCTAAGGTCAGAAGCAACAACCAGCATGGATTTGTCAAGGACAAACTATTAAACCATCCCATCCTTCTTCTCTGACAGGTCTTACAGACAGGGGAAAAGTGGCAGATATCATCCCTGTCCATCTTAGCAGGGCTTTGGGCATAATCCTTTATCAAATTCTCATAAAAGAGCTAAGAACACATTGCTTGGTTGGAAGGGCAGACAGGTGACTCAGCCAGGTGGGCAGCTGTAATAAAAGAAGAGTTCTCATGGATTCACAGTCACCATGGGAAATATATGGAATGGAGTTCTCCAGCATTGCTGAAATACTCACTGCTGTCACTTGTGACTAGTATCTTTGCTTACTTTGCAGGCCATGCCAAGCTGTAAGCACTTTAGAAGAGACAAATTAAGAAGATTTTGATCAACTATAGCAAAAGCCTGAAATAAATACAGCATAATTTTATAAGGGCAAATGCAAAGCACCAGATTTGTGACAACTGCTGTGACATATGACTCAATAGGTAACAGTTCTCCAAAAAGGTGTCTGGGTATGACAACGAGCAAACTCTGACTCTGAGTCAGTGTCAGCTCCCCTCTGGAGCTGTGTCACGCGGGGCAGCGTGGCAGGAACACGAGCATTAGACCTACACAGCATCCTTCCCTTGACAGGACCACAGGGTCCTCACGAAGGCCTTTGGGGTCCTACCTAGAGGGACCCAGCCACAAGAACAAGGAGTCATTGGGCTTCCAGAAAGCATGACTGGTAGAGAAAATAACTGCAGGTGTTTAGTGCAGTGAAAATTAGAAGGAGGCAGGTGGAGAGTCGTTCATGGGAGTCGTTCATAAGCAGGAAGGCAAGGAAAAGGAGGAGGCAATAAACACTTTCCCAGACACACTGCGAGATGAGTAAAATAAGACATTTAAATTAGAGCAAAGGGAGATTTAGGATCAACAACTTGCTGAGCAAGAATAATCAGACTTTCTAAGCGTGTTAAGCAGTCTTCATTACCGCATTTTTTTATAGAACAGCTGGATAATTTTGCATTAGGGATGCTGTAGCCATACACAGTCTTGTATGAAGATGGCATTGAAGATGGATCAGATGGATTTGGCGATGAACATGAATCAGATGATCTTCAGCATCTGAACTGATATTCCATAAATCCTCTCAATTTTTAAAATTATTTATAACTTACACTGCATTCCAGTAATTGCTTTATATTCTTTTGTAGGATGAGAGAGGGTAGACGCCAGAAATACATGTTCCTTAATACGAGTACTCAAAATAATCATCACAAATATATATAATATTGGCATTTTAAAGACATACAAGTTTTATCTTTTGCATAGATACAGACTGAAAGAGTCATAAAATACTGATACAGACACATCTCCACTGAGTTATGTCCAGATTCAGACTACACGTTTATCAGAGCAGTCTTTGAGTGTCTCTCTAATACACTGAATGTATTTGCTCGATCTAAAACCTCCTGCAGTCGATGGGAATTTATCTAATGCCGTCAGTGCATCACTATTCTTTTCCATGAGGTTTTTATCCTGAGCTTCTCTTAATGTTCTCTGAGCATTTTCCAAAACTACTGTCAACAGGACAAGTGCAAAACAGCAGGTAATTTTTCTCTCGACTTCTTTTTCAGAGAAGAAAGGGCACACAGTTGGCTGTATTGGGTTTGGGGATTGTTTTYGAAGAGATGCAACCCAGAATTTTGGATAATGCTTCAACGCAGAAATTTAACATGCCTAAAAACTTACTGATGTAGCATCGTCTTAGGAGACATAATCAAGTAAAAGAGCATAAAGTGATTCCCTGCTGACATATGCAGTTGATATGAGGAACAGAGTTGAAACCTCTGTTCTAGGAAAAGCAAAGTATGTTTTGTTCTTCTCTCAGTGGCGCCAAGATTTCCTTCAAGATATTTTATATTACTTCAATAACAAATAATGCAGTGACTAATCAACATTATGCAAAGCTTCAGGAAGAAACTAATCCCTGTGCCTCCCCTCTGAGACTCGCTGTCCTCCTTTTACAGATCGAAAAAAATGGACACATGTTCCTGAACATGCGTCAAGGCGGTGTTCAGCTGTGAGAATAAAATGCAAGTGACCAGCTGGTCTAACTGCTGCTGTTAGGTACGCCCCTCGTACCTCGGACAGAGTTAGGTACGCCCCTCATACCTCGGATGGACAAAGGCAGAGAGAGAGATCTAAGTACGCGAGATATTTTATTACCAGCTAGCTGGGGTCCAAGGCTCACCCTAGAAGGGGATCTTGCCAGGGACCCTGAGGCATCTACGCGAGAGGTTTTTATACATTTTGAAGTAAGGACACAAGATCATTAATCTCCCTCCCCACCCCTTGCCATTTTGTCTTTTCGGGATTGGCTGATCTTCTTATCTTTCTCTTTGAAAACTTTTCCAAACTGTCCAAGTGTGGGKGTATCCTTTATGAAGTTCCTGCAAAACCGCTCAAGTGTGATTTTCTTATCTGTCCAAGTTTGGGTGAATGATTTAGAAGCGTCCTTGATGCGCGTTATCGATGCTCACGATTTACGATCTTCCAATTAGTCCAGGCGTGGGTCATAATTTATGATCTTCCAATTAGTCCAAGCGTGGGTAGTTTGTCCTTCACTGCTTATGACCAAAGTACCACCCAGAGCCTGCCTGTCTTGGCAGGACAGGGCCCCGAGGGCACTGACAACCCCCACTGTTCCGGTCACCCTCCAGGCTCCCCGACCAGCCCCCATTTCGGCCCAGGCCAGGGCCCTCAGTGCTGCCCTGCGCCRCCACCACCACGTTGCTGGCTTCAGCCCCAGCTCCTGGGTGGACCTCCTGGGTGGACCTCTCAGACGCACATTGGAGTTTGACTCGAGGCCTGTCTCTGGCCACATCCCCTCTTGCTGATGGATGGTCCCTGGCCCTGGTTCAGTGTTTGCGATAGAGGGGGCAAATCTCCCTGGTAAGATTTTCATAGAAGGACAAATTGAGTCTTTTTGGGGGAGGGTCCCTGACAGGGACAAGGGGAAGGATGGCACACTCTCAAGGCCTTGCTCTCTTGTGACTGAGAACAAAAATGTGAAGTTGCATCACAGCAAAGCCCTGCCTTCTGCATAAAACCAAAGAGGGAAGAGGGAGGGTGCTATGGGTAGTGTTGGGAGACAGGCGACGGATCTCAGGTTAAAAAAACAGCTCTTCAGAAAAAACAGCCCAAGAGGTCCTAACGAGACTGCACATAGGAGACAGCTCTCACACAGAATCTTAGAAGTGTCCAGCTATCCTCCTGCCCTAATGCAGGAAGGAAAAAGCACRGATGAAAAATATTCACTTTCTTGTCCAAGCAGAAGAGGAAAAGAACATGATGCTTTTGCACAGAGCCAAGAGATTTGTTTAAAGAAAAGAGAAAAATGGACTTTTTTTTCCACTATGTACAACAGGAAGCATTCTGGAAAAGACAGGTGGTCCAATACTGTTTTTTTCCTACTTTGGGCTTATAAAACATGATTTCATAAAACAAGACATTTTAAATAGCACCATCTCTTTGAGTGAGAAGGTGTTTTCAGGCATGATAGAGCCAGGCAGCCCATGGCCAGGGCAGGACCAGCAGCACCAGCAGCACCAGCCGCTCTTATGGCTTCTGCAGCAACAGAGTCTCCCTGTGTCTGACCCCAGGGAGCTCTGCTAGTTGGGGTGATCCAGGGTTTTATAAACCACATAATGCACTAGAATCTCAGAATGACTTGTCCTCTTTGCCATAGCATTTCCTTCAGAGACCAGCAGTAAATGAT